AAAGTCCAAATATTTTGATGAAAAGCCATAATATTCTGAAAATAAAGTTGACCAGAAAAAAAGTTTAAAAAAGTAGAATCCGTTGGTTTAGAGAAAGAAGGAAATCGTAACTGAGAACAAAGTTTATACGAAAAAAAAGTATTTCAACAATAAAGTTGAGAATGTACAACAAAAAAATATATTAAAATATATATTTATCAGAAAAACATTAAAGTGAAAAATATAGAATTTCTGAAATTTTTTCTTGTAATTAAGACATTTTTGAACAATTTTAAATTACCACTATATTAGAAAAACAACTTAATTCTCAAAATATTATGAATTATTTTTCAGAACAGTGGCCTTAATACTGTCGTATCTATAGTCTCAGTGTAAAACCAGGTGGACTCTTCAGTCCGTTTTCGGCCTGTCTTTGTTTCCCTCCCCCTTCCCTCTCTTCTGTCGCAGGTAGAGTCTGTTAGCTTTCCTCAGCAGCAGGATAAACCAGTATATCTGTGGAGCCAGGATCACCAGATTCCCCACATTGCACTGCAGAGGCAGGTGGAAGGCCACTCTGTGCAGGGGAATCCCAAACTGCCGGCCGTACATCCAGTACATGAAGGGGAAGATGAGAATCCGGCACACGAAGAAGCTCAAGATGACAATGATGCCGTTGATTCTGTGCAGCCTGGTGTCATCGAGGCCCAGCTGGTTGTCAGGGGACGTGTTGGGGGTGAAACAGGAGAGAAGGAAAGAAGGAGAACAGGAATCTTCATTATAACACACACTGATGGCTGTCAAAGATAACATGCAGATGTTTCCTTTCAGATCTCAACCCAACTGAACATCTATGGGAGATTTTGAAGTAAGCATCTTTTTTAACTTGGAAAATCACAATGTGACATTAAAATGCTGTTTACACGTGAATGCATCAGTAGGAAAAAAAATCTCATATATATAAAAATACACCAACAGGTTCCAGTTCTGAACACTTATTATATACTTATTCATTACATTTCATACTTTAAGTACATTTATGATAATACTTTTATTTTTATCTAACAGTATCTTTATTGCTACTATAACTGAAGTAAATCTGAATACTGCTGTGCTCTGGAAGGTATGGCTAAATGGCTTTACATAACACTTATCCAAAGCACTTTACAGTTTGCCTCCAAGTCACATGCCGATGGCTGCGAGCTACCATTCACTGTGCTGACACTTCCAGCACATGGAAATCAAACCTCGAACTCTGATTAGTGGACAATCTGCTATACCTCCTGAGCCGCAGCTGCCAATTTTCCAAAGTTCAACTGGTGTTGAGTCACTGATGGGAAATGTGCCCACTGGAAAGGTCTTGTCAAAACATAAGAGGGAAATACTGTCCCTGCCCCACAGAAAAAGCTGGAATGTGCCACTAGGGGCTGTGTACCAGCTTTATGGTTGTAAATCTTACCCCAACGGTGTGAAATCAGTGGCTGTCTTTGTAGGGAGATTACGAAGGTTTACCTGGATGAGAATCTTTCCTATAGAGACGAAAGGAGTGCTGAACTCTGTTGTGAACATGGAGCCGATGAAGAAATCCCCCAGTCCTCTCCTGAAAAACTACAAATCAAACACAGTGCGCAGTCAGCACACTCCGTACCAGGCAGCCAGTGTGTGTTACCAAACAGATCAATCACATCAATAATCACACTGCGAGTATGACAGGGATTCCTCGCCATACTCACAAGAGCGATGGGCATGAAGATGAGAAGCAGGACCAGGTGGTGGAGGACCAACATCCTGTCCTTCACGAGGAAAGCCTTCACTGTCTGAAGAGAGTGGCTGCTGTATGACCCAGAATCCCCTCTGACCCTCTGAGTGTGAAAGTGGCTCAGATACATGGCGTAGATGTCGTAGGCCATATAGGGAGCTCCGAACATAACAAACCCATTGACCAGCCAGTGACTGTGTGAGACAGCAACAATAACATACAGACAATAAACAGGGTGTGAAGAGTAAAGTAACTGTAATGTATTGTGTGTTGGTCTGCCACAAAAAGACTTTAATCACGTTAGTATGAGATCACTGAGTGTAAATGCTGTTTGTGGGAACAGGTGACTCTTACCTGTCATTCATGGTGTCCCTGCAGGATGTCACAACTGTGACTCCAGCTGCTGTAGCCAGAGATGCATGGATGGCAGAGACCAGCCTGGAGAAAGAGAGTCGGCCAATGGCAATACTTTATTGTCATACACAAACTTAAAACTGGAAATAGACTGCACAAACAGTTACACCAAACTTCATTTAAGTACACGCTAGTTTATTTGTTTTCTTGCTTATAGGCAGCAATGTATACATCATAAAAGATTACTTAAATACCTAACCCTCTCAGAGGTAGAATTTATCTTCGGCCGACATATTGCGCACATATGACCCAATAATTGAGGGAAATTTCAGCCTTTCATACGGCTCATAACACCGCCTCCAATGTGTTTGAGGAAGAGAACGACTTTCTTTAAAAAAACTACTGAAACAAGTTCATTCTATCAATGCCGAATTGACCATGTCTTTTTATAAACTAATAGAAAATACTAAATGGACCTCCACAACGTATGTAAATTGATAAGAAAAGCAAGACAACATTAAAGTGCCGTAAGTCTTAAAGGAGTTCGGTGAGGTGAGCGGCTCGTGTCGGTGCTGCTGACCTCTCACTGACAGAAACCACGTCGGCATCAGTCCAATGAGTGAACGTGTGTTTCAGTATCCTCCTGAAGCTGTAGAAAAGACCCGGGAACACCACAGCTCCGCACACCAAGGCAGTGAGCATTATCTTGGCCGACCTCTTCCTCAGTCAATAAAGGTTACACAGCTCCAGTTACAACAGGAGCTAATGTGGCTAACGACAGCCGACAGCGACGTTAAACGGATAGATTCATGGAGGGTTGGACGAGGGCCGCTTTGGACCAATAGCAACGATTGACCTAAAATAACCTTCCATTGTTTTCATATTGAATTCATATAATATATAACTGTATTGTTGTAATTACACCTTATTGGGAATATTGATGAACAGGTATCTATTGACTATTTAATTTTACTTTATCATGTTAGAGTTTATGCTTTTAATCTAATGGCAGGTTCTGTTGCAGTAGGTTTCCCTCCCACTTCCTGTGTTTTTATATTTGCCCGTTGTTTATATTGTTTTATTGTGCTCTTTTACTAATACATGTTAATCTTACCTCCATGGAATAATGGTCCGTGTATGTTTTGGTCATTGGATTTTCCTTTCAGAAACGGGTATTAAAAGACAGAAAACGAGTGGTTATTTGAATTTCGTTTTAAAATACAAAAATTAAAATTGAAATACAAGGCGTTTTTCTTTTTCATGGTCAGAAAGGGGATGAGTGAAATTAAAAAAATGATTCGATTTTCATTTTCTATTTCATATAACAAAAAATAAAATCACTAGAAAACAGAAACGGAAAAAAGGCCTGTTTTTTCATATTCTGAGACCGGATGTTGTCATTTACAGGACGGTGCTGTGTAGAAGAAACAGTAGAGCAGTAGACTGCGGTCAATCCAGCCGTGAGTCCGATCTCCGTGGTCAAATCAGCCGCACTTAAATTTAGTGTACAAGTATTCTCAGCATTATGGTAAATGCGGAGAAACAGCGTATTTACTTCCGGTTTTCAAAATAAAGGTATTAAGAACAGTAAGCTATAATTAAAATATGTTACATTAAAGTGTTTCATGCGCCTCTGATGGATAAAAAACACGTTATATCAAGTATCTTTACTGCACCAGTGCTCAATATTTCCAGGCTATGGGTGAAGCATTTTCATTATACTTCAATAATGATGCAGTAATCATGACAAAAATCGTCTTATTTTGCAGCTCTACAGCTGTCACACTGAATCTGTAAAAGGGAAAAAGAATTAGTTTTAACTTCAAAACACCATTGTACCTACTGTCTCTTCCTCATATATTATTTTTCCCTTTTACAGATTCAGTGTGACAGCTGTTGCAGGTGGTTCCACATACAGTGCCTACAAATGGACACAGCAGAGCTGCAAAATAAGAAGAATGTGGACTGGCATTGCATTTTGTGTGAAAAGTAAACAAATTAGAATTGTGTAGGATTTTGTCATGATTACTGTATCATTATTGAAGTATAATGAAAATGCTTCACCCATAGCCTGGAATTATTGAGCAACGTGTTTTTACAGTAACTCAAATATATGAAAATACCACATGGAGGTACAAATATGGACGACTTTTATTGTTGAATTTCTCCAAATTGGTACAGTAAAAATGCTTGATATTAAGTATGCTTGTAGTCTCATATGTGTAAAAGTCAAATATACCATCAGTAGCCAGGAAACACTGAGCAATATGTTTTTACAGTACCTCAAATATGGTCAAATATGCAATCTCTGGAGGCATAAATATGAGGCTTTTATTTTGGCATTTCTCCACACTGGTGCAGTAAAGATACTTGATATAAAGTGTTTTTTTTTCATCAGGGGCGCATGAAACACTTTAATGTAACATATTTTAATTATAGCTTACGGCTCTAAATACCATTATTTTGAAAACCGGAAGTAAATACGCTGTTTCTCCGCATTTACCATAATGCTGAGAATACTTGTACACTCTAAATTTAAGTGCGGCTGATTTGACCACGGAGATCGGACTCACGGCTGGATTGACCGCAGTCTACTAGTCTACTGTTTCTTCTACACAGCACCGTCCTGTAAATGACAACATCCGGTCTCAGAATATGAAACAACAGGCCTTTTTTCTGTTTCTGTTTTCTAGTGATTTTATTTTTTGTTATATGAAATAGAAAATGAAAATCGAATTTTCATCCTTTTGAAAAGAAAAACTATTTCAATTTTAATTTTTGTATTTTAAACGAAATCAAATAACCACTGTTTTCTGTTTTTTACTTTTGAAAGGAAAATCCAATGACCAAAAAAACCACCTTGTATTTCAATTTAAATTTTTGTATTTTAAAACGAAAATCAAATAACCACTCGTTTTCTGTTTTTTAATACCCGTTTCTGAAAGGAAAATCCAATGACCAAAACATACACGGACCCTGGTTTCCTAGCAGGTTAATTTGACAATTCGATAAACCAAACCTGGAACCTGTTGCTGTGAGGCCACAGTGCTAACCAGCATCAACGTCCTCCATGGACAAATATGAACTGCATAATTTAAATCATTCAGTCATAAAACAGTATTGTACAGTAGAAATGTGAACTGCATAAGTCAGTGACAAGTACAAGACATATTCCAATAGATTGGAATCAACAATAATTGTAATAAAAACAGATACATATGAGAAATTGTCTAACAAATGGCTAGAGGTGGGCTAGAAAAGTGCAAGTAAATATAATATCTCACCACACTTTATTTCTTTATTGTCTATGATATTTCATATAATGATATTTCTATCATTTCTAAAGGTGCTCCACCATCTCCAGTAGCTGATTTACTTGAGTATCATCTCCTGTATTTGTATCAAACACATGATGCCGGTGGCCACATCTGTCCAGCACCCACTGCAGAGGCTCTCCCTTCTCCTCGATGTGTCTCTCCACTGTCCTTCCTCTCAGCTCCTCTCCGTAGGTGAACAGCACCACAGTTCTTGTCCACACATCGACCCCCAAAGTGCTGAGGTACGTCTCCACAGCTCTCCTGTCTCTCTTTGTGAACGAGCCCACCGGCACAGCCAGCAGGAAACACACTTTGCTCCTCGCAGGGCAGAGGGAAGGGCTCCGGCTGATCTCCGTCCTGACCTGCTCGGGGTTGGCCAGGCCAAACAGACTCCACCCGGGGGTGTCCACCACCGTGACGGGCCGCCCGGATACTTTTCCATGGCCGACAGAGCACCTGGTGGTCTTAAGGGTGATCTGAAACTCTTCTCTGTCCAGGATCATGTTGCCTGCTGAGCTCTTCCCTGACTTCCTCCTTCCCAGCAGGATGAGGCTGAGAGCAGGATTAAAACCAACCTGCCCTGCTGGGGATCCTGCAATTTTTTTATATTTTTAAAAAACACATATTATATGTCAGTTGTTGACATTATTGTGGGCAAAATGAATTCCTACCTACCTTGGGACATATGCATCCATCCTGAGGCCACTTGCTTCCTTTCTCTTGTCCTCCCATCATGCAGCACTGTCAATTCTATCTCCTCTTGTCTTCCCTGCCACCTTCTCTCCCCGTTCATGCTCAGATCTCGTCTCAGTTGGGTGTACATCCTGTCCTGGATCTCTCTGGGACGTTTGTTAGTCTCCATCATCCTTTGGATCTTCTCAAAGAGCTCTGTAACCTGAGCCTCTGAGGCCCTGGGGTTGGTCATAACCTGGTACCTGTTCCCACATCGCTCCAGCAGCCAGTTGAGGGTCCGACCTTGTTGCCTTATGTGCTCCTGGATCGGCAGGCCTCCTGTGGCAGAAATAACCTTACTGGTTGAGTTACACCTCAATGGATGGCGCCAAAGAGCCATCATTTTAGTAGTAAGTGAACAACAGCTAAATGCTAACATCAGCATGCTAACATGCTCACAATGACAATGCTAACATGTTGATGTTTCCAGCCAGTATTATGTTTTACCATGTTCACTGTAGTTTAGTGTGTTAGCATGCTAACATTTGCTGATTAGCACTAAAAACAAAGTACAGCTGAGGCCGATGGGAATTTTATTACTTTTGTAATTAGTATATGTTTTGAATCATCTTGTGATGATGTGAATTTTTTAAAATGTATTTTGGGGCTTTATCCTTTAATTGATAGTGACAGCTGAAGACAGGAAAGGGGGGAGAGAGAGGGGGATGACACGCAGCAAGGGGCCACAGGTCAGATTCGAACCCATGGCCGCTGCAGCAAGGACTCAGCCTCGGTTACATGGGGTCACCAGCTCTACTAAAGTTACCAGGGAGCCCCTGACCCCTTAACATTAACTTGGGGGCCCTCTCCTGGAGTGCCGAACCCCAGGTTGGAAACCACTGAGAACACATCAGACAGGAGTAAATGATCATCAGTTTACCTAACTTGTCTCCATGGGTGAAGAGGACCATAGCTCGCTGCCAGATGGGGGTTTGGAGCAGTCTGAGCTGGGCCTCCATGGCCTTCCACTCCTCTTGGCCGAAGGTGGAGGAGATGGGCAGCACCAGCAGGATGACATGAGGCTCTGGGTGGCAGAGGCTCAGACCTCTGCAGAGCTGCTTAGACACGCTGTCTGGAGTGGTGGAGTGGGACAGCCACCCTGGGGTGTCCACCACTGTCACCTGGTTTATGAAATGTGGTCAAAGTGAGTAAAGACAAGATTTAAAGTTGAAGTAAATCCAAACTGTAAACCTGTATACTCACTTGTATTCCAGAGACAGTGCCGTTCTCCTTGGAGCTGCGAGTGGTTTTCTTGTGAAAGGCTGGTTTTCCCAGGATGCTGTTTCCTGCAGAGCTCTTCCCACTTTGTTTCTTACCCAGTAACAGCACAACCACTTGGGACGGGCTTGGCTCTGGACCTGCCAAGCATTCATGATCTCCAATTCATACACACTCAAATACGGCTTTTAAGTCTTTTTAAACTGCTTAAAATAACTTACCATATGAGGCTGCCATGTTAAGGTACCCGTTGTTTATAATAATCCACAGATGGAGTGTGGGTCAAAGCTTCAGTCTGAGTGCTCTCTCAACAAGCCTCTTTCAGTTCTGCATTTACCTCCTGCTGCTGATTCAGTGTTGTTCTGTGGAACTGAATCTGTTACTGCACGTGCTTATAAAGGTTGGGCCAGTCCACATGGTTATCTCAGTGTTTGTTTCAAAGTTCACAACAGAAACCGTTCCATGGAAGTGGTTTTGGCCAATAAAATGACTCACACATGCCAAACACACATAAATAAGCTGAAGATAGAAAATATATTTACACACACACACTCACACATAAAAGTTATTCTATAGCTCTGGAGCCATCTTGTTTGGTGATTGTAGTGATGTCAGTAAAACTGAGATCAAACTCAGTCCAAATATGGAACTTTTCTCTCAAATTTAACATCACATCAGTAAATCTACTTTTTAAAGGTCCAGTGTGGAGGATTTAGTGGCATCTATTGGTGTAGTTGCAGATTACAACTCACTCCGTTCACTCTCCCCTTCCAAGTGCAAAGAAACTACAAAGGCTGCAGAATTGCTTATGGTGCTAAAATTAGTGGAGGAAACTTAACATAAAGTGCTGAATTTTAATTCTGAATCATTTCCCATTAATTCCCTGGAAAGACGTATGTAAATTGGTACTCGTGTTTGGGAATCCCGCAACTGTGTTTGGTTGGTATTGTCATGGCAAACAGAAAACCTATTGTGTCTAGTTGGGTGAGCTGAAGAGCAATATCTGTCTTTGTCTCTTATTCCAAAGGATTATTCCTTGAAAGAGCCACTGTGTGTACACTGTGAGACTGAAGAGAAACTGGTTATATTGCAGCTTATGCTCTCAGTCATTCTTTGTTACAAACGGGTGCATTATACTTCATTATGTTTTGGCAGCCACAAGCACAAAACCATTTTAATGGCAACAGTTTCCATAAGAGTTTGTTCCAATTAATAGCTAACTTAAGAGTCTTTTACTCAGAGCACAGCGGCTCAGCTGAAAATTTGTCAACAGGCTATCAAACAATTTGATTGTTCAGGAAAATACAATAAAGTACGGAAGCCCAAAAATGCCACCAGAGATCACAGATTCATTAATCTTGTTATCTCAAGAGAACCGAAGGCAGATATAGTGAGATCATTTCTCATGAAAAAAGAACTGGAGATCAGGGATAATTATGGAGAACTTGAAAATGAGTGTTTGCTTCATTTGATCACATCTGATTTCAGCCTTCAAGATCACTGGCATGGGGAGGAATCACCACTGAACTGAAAAGAGTTGTTACCAGAATGTGACAACTGAGAGTTCATTGAAGATATTAGTGTCCTGGTAATGCGATACAGCACTGGCAAAATATATCAGGAGACTGAGATTAATTAAAGGAGCTCAAAGATCCATGCACTTTTATCTGGCTGGTCAGTATGAAGGTGATTATTAACTGGTATTAACCTATGTCTTTCCTCCATACATTGTCCATTATGAGTATGAACCAATACTAAATCTATAATATGACACTCCTGATCTCTGATATACATTAGAAGTAATAAGGGGAAACAAGCTTGTTTTCTTGAAAAAAACTAGTACATTTTGTCATTATCCCGGGACAATGAGGCTTGTTTTTTCAAGATAACAAACTCATTTATTCAGTTCAATTAAATTTTATTTGTATAGCGCCAATTCATAACAGAAGTTATCTCAGGACACTTTTCAAATAGAGCAGGTCTAGACCGAACTCTTTAAAACATTAATTACAGAGACCCAACAGTACCACCATGAGCAAGCACTTGGCGACAAGGGCAAGGAAAAACTGCCTGTTAAAAGGCAGAAACCTAGGACAGATCCTTCGGCTCTAGGTGGGTGGTCGTCTGTCTAGACCAGTTGGGGTGAGAGAGAGAGACAGAGAGACAGACAGGCAGACAGACAGAGAGACAGACAGACAGGTGCACAGCAACAACAGTATTGGCAATGGCAATCTAGCAGGACCATGGCAGGAGGCTCCACCAGGATCGATAAGAACCTGCGAGACGAGAAAGCACAAGAACGCCGGGGAAGAAGTGAAGTTAGTAATATGCATTAATGGGACATGAATGAGTGCAGAAAGAGAGAGGAAGGGAGGAGCTCAGTGCACCATGGGAAATCCCCCGATAGGTACTATGAGCTCTTTAAGATATGAAGGGGCCTGACCATGAAGAGCTTTATAGGTAAGGAGGAGGATTTTAAATTCTACATTTTACAGGGAGCCAATGCAGAGAAGCTATTACAGGAGAGATGTGATCTCTTTTTCTAGTTCCTGTCAGTACTAGTGCTGCAGCGTTCTGAATTAATTGGAGCGTTTTAATGGACTTATTGAGGCAACCTGATAATAAAGAGTTGCAGTAATCCAGCCTCGAAGTAACAAATGCATGGATTAGTTTTTCTGCATCTGTCTGTGATAGTATGTGTCTAATTTTTGTAATATTACGTAAATGAAAGAAGGCAGTCCTGGAGGTCTGCTTTATGTGGGAGTTAAAAGACAAATCCTGATCACAGATAACTCCAAGATTCCTGACAGTGATGCTAGAGGCCAAGTTAATGCCATCTAGAGTAACTATATCTTTAGACAGTGAGTCTCTAAGGTTTTTGGGGCCAAGAACAAGAATTTCGTTTTTTTCTGAGTTTAACATCAGAAAATTGCAGGTCATCCAGGATTTTATGTCCTTAAGACATGTTTGTAATTTAGATAATTGATTAATTTCATTGGGTTTGATTGATAGATATAACTGCGTATCATCTGCATAACAGTGAAAGTTAATGGAGTGATTCCTAATAATGTTGCCTAAAGGGAGCATATATAAAGTAAATAGTATTGGTCCAAGTACAGAACCTTGTGGAACTCCATGACTAACTGTAGTATTTATTGAAGATTCATCGTTAACATGTACAAACTGCGAACGATCTGATAAGTATGACTTAAACCAGCTTAGTGGGGTTCCTTTAATGCCAATTTGATGCTCAAGTCTCTGTAAAAGAATATCATGGTCAATGGTGTCAAATGCAGCACTAAGATCTAATAATACAAGTACAGAGACAAGTCCATTGTCAGAAGCAATCAGAAGGTCATTATTAACTTTAACCAGAGCTGTCTCTGTGCTATGATGAACTCTAAATCCTGACTGAAAATGAGGAAGGGGAGGTTAGAAATCGGTCTATAGTTGGCTAAAACCCCTGGGTCAAGAGTGGGCTTTTTAAGAAGGGGTTTAATTACAGCTACTTTAAAGGACTGTGGTACATATCCTGATAATAAAGAAAGATTAATCATATCCAGTAAAGAAGTGCCAATTAAGGGAACAACTTCTTTAAGCAGCCTAGTTGGGATGGGGTCTAAAAGACAGGTTGATGGCTTCGATGAAGAAATGATTAAAGTTAACTGATGAAGATCGATAGCAGAAAAACAGTCTAAATATATATCTAAGTTTACATTAGCAAAAGTCCCTGAACTTGGAGAGCCACTGATAACTGTTGATGGCAGTTGGTGATTAATTTTCTCTCTAATAGTAATAATTTTATTATAGAAGAAGCTCATGAAGTCATTGCTACTTAAGTTTATGGGGATATGTGGCTCAATAGAGTTGTGACTCTCTGTCAGCCTGGCTACAGTGCTGAAGAGGAACCTAGGGTTGTTCTTATTTTCTTCTATTAGTGCTGAGTAATAGGCTCCTCTGGCATTACGGAGGGCCTTTCTATAAGTTTTAAGATTATCTTGCCAAATTGAGCAATATTCTGATAATTTACTCATGATCTTAAGATAACGACTATTAAAAAAATACAAAACATGGCCTTTCTTGGCTTCTGTGATAAAATATAAATCTTTGCAACTGACTGATTACTGAGTGGGTTTGCTGACAACTTGTACATGAGCTGTTCTTCTTTGAAGTATTCCGGTTTCATTTGTTCGAATGTGAGGACAAAGAAGAGAGCTCCACCTGAACCAGGAAGTTAATTCCCTTTGGTGTGTCACACTGAACTCCCAATCAGCTGAGCTCCTTTAATATCTGCTGTTGCACGTTGGCTCCTGTGGAATCAGACGCAATAAAGATACAGAGTGTAAAATTGAGAGAGAGAGAGAGAGAGAGAGAGAGAGAGAGAGAGAGAGAGTTTTAAAAACTATCCTAGCAGTGTTATGCAAAATTAAGCACTGCTACTTCCAATTTTGCAGATTGTGTGCCGCTAAGTGATGTGACACCAATACTTCAGTCTGATGATGTGATGGATGTTCCTCCCTGAACACCAACTAATCCATATTGAGAGAGTGTTTCACTGCTTGTCCACATGTATTCCTTGTTTTTTATTTTCAGATGTCTGAGCGAATGAGTTCTTTCAGTGCAATGTGGGAGCCTCCAGGGTGTCAGCCTATGGAACTATTCCTGGCTGCTGCTGGACCTTTTCATGGCATCAGATCACACTATGAGGCCGCAAAACCTCGGACCGCAGAAATAGGCCACGTACGGATAATGGAGCAGCAGGAAGTAGGCCAGGCCGCAGCACTTCCATAACGATTACTGAGCGATCCATCAAAAGAAAATGGTGTGTGTCTCTGCGGTGTTAAGCTGATAAGAGAGCTGGTTGAGCTGTCTCTACCCAAGATGGATTATATCACTAAAGTGTGATTCTACTATGTGCTGTAGTTCAGTTTCATTACAAAAGATTCGGCAGCCAAATGACACTCTCAGCTAGAATAAGACTTGTATGAATTTCTACAGGATAACATTTGGATTACAGTTAAAGAGGTAGTTATTATTCATATTAAGTAGGGCAAAACATGGCTCTGTATTAGTATTCAATGCTTCCCCTGCCTTAGTGTCTGAACCAAACTGTATTAAGACCTTTAGTGATACTTTCTACATCTATCTACTGCACTCACCTCCAAATTACTACCTGTTAGAGGAAAGGCTCACAGTCTGGTACCCACATGTACATTGGCCATCATCCCTTCCTAATGTGCTTCCAATATAAATGATCAGAGAAAGTTCTTTCTTTTTAGTATAAATTCTGTTTCCTGCAATGCAAGGATAGCAACAAAAAGAGAGAACTTTGTAATTAAACACTCACACTGTCGACGCTTCGAGTAACT